AGCGAAGGGAGATCGGAGTTTTGCTTCATACTGTAAATCTAAGTTAAACCTCGGTCTACAAAATGGTGCCAAAAGCTCGGCGAAAGCCATAAAAGCAACGGAGTTATTAACGATCAAACAGTGTTCACATTTTTTGGGACACTCTGTATATATAAAACTCAAAAATTGTCAGTTTGGAGGGTATGTGAGTTGTAGAAAGAGCGATTCAACCAATTGAGCTGAAACTTTGCACACACATGAATTCTACCCCTGCGCAGTTTACAGGCTACTTTTTGTGGCTAATCGTCAGGTCCCTCCATTGATTTATTGGTTTGTTTACGTTTTCTAAGGAATTGAAGGCTTATCATGTTCAACTAAGCATTTTCTCATAATCATGTGAAGGACGGCAGTGAAGCCCTTTTCACTCAGATTCACGAGGATGCGGTGAAATGAAGCGGATGCGCAAGGTAAGTCATCCATAACATGGAAAAGGGGGAAGGGGTTGCGCAGTGCAGTAATTTTGCAGGGAGCGGTAGCATCTATCTCCTCCCCTATGAACAATAGCCCGGGCTGGACCGGGGAAGCCAACTAGTGCTAAATAATTTTGGTGTTGGCTCAATCACAAAAGCAACTAATTCGATATGCCAGGATTCATTGAAAGTCGAACATGGAACATCGAATACAGTATCGGGTGCACTAGCATCTCCACTCCCGCGCAACCGCCTCGCTTGCATTCTGCAACTTTTTCGCGAGCATGCTTTCTAATCACTTTCCCACCACGAGAATATGGAAGGCGGAGTCCCAGCCGACTAAAAATAACTAGAGAGCATGTTCGCAGAAGAGGTGCGGAGTCCAAGCAAGGCGGCCGCGTGGGAGAGGAAATGCTGGTGCACCCGACATAAATATTGTATGCATGACATGCCGTCACGCATGTGCGCTGCTGCTTCCGCTGTTGTTTGAAATCGGTCCACGTTATGCTTTCCTAAAATGTTTTTCTTGATGACTTAGTAATTTAAAGGAATGCATCAAAGAAAACTCTAAGGATGCATCAAAGAATATTGTTTGTTTTGAGACTATGAGTGAACGAATAGAAGTAAGATCCAAAAGCATCTGAAATAACCCCAGTACAGTGCGCAAAAAGTCTTTTTTCGCTGCTAAATTAGCTTGAAACTAAACGAGAAATGCAGCATAGCGCATAAAAAACAAAAAAAAATACTTCTCTATACACATAAAACTCAAAAATTGTCCGTTTGGAGGGTATGCGATTTATAGAAACGCGCGCCGCTCAACCGTTTGGGCTGAAAGTTTGCACACAGATGTTTTCGACCCCGGAGACGGTTTTAGGCTACTTTTTGCGGCGATTCATTGGGTCCTTCTATCGATTTATTGATTTGTTTACGTTTTTCTAAGGAATTGAAGGCTTATTATGTTTAATCAGGCATTTTGCCATAGTCACGTAAAGGAGGGCGGTCAGGCCCATTTTTATCTCAGAATCACGAGGATGCGGTTTCGAAGCGGATGTCCCAGGGTAAGTTATCCATAACATACAGAGTGTCCCAAAAAATGTGCACACTGTTTAATCGTTAATAACTCTCTTGTTTTCAGGTTTTTTGCCGAGTTCAAGGTACCATTCTGTAGAGCGAGGTTCAACTTAGATTTGCAGTGTGGAGCAAATCACCAATCACTTTTCATTACTGTAGGATTACGGTATGAACTTCCAACATACAGCGTCACTGTGGAAAACTGACTCACTTGTGATAAAATAATTTCAAAGAAATCTGAAAATCTGTGTATCAAGGTTTTCAGGCATGCTGATTTCAGTAGATAACTTTTCATCAATTTTTCGAACTCTCTTGTTCGCGTATTCACATTTTTGAGGGAAATTAAGAAAACAATTTTTACTCTAAATCTGAAATAACTTATGAAAGAAGCACTATACTAAGGTGCAAACTTCATATTTAAAATCAGCACCTTCAACGAGGCCAGTTTACAAGTTTCTGGCTTGTTTGGCTTTCTTTCTGAGGCAAATTGCGCCTTTTAATGGCTTAAAACCCTCTTCGAAGTTCCTGCCGTCATCCTACAGTAATGAAAAGCGATTGAAAAGTGATTCGCTCCATTCTGCAAATCTAAGCTGAACCTCGCTCTATAAAATGGTGCTTTAAGCTCTACAAAAGATATGAAAGCAAGAGAGTTATTAACGATCAAACAGTGTGCACATCTTTTTGGGACACCCTGTATAAAGGGGGGGGGTGGGCTCGCAGTGCAGGAGAACACTGGCCCGGTCCGGACCGGGAAAGCCAACTAGTTGCACATAATTTGCCAAAGGGTTCAGTATTTTTGGAAATAAAAATCAGTAGCAAGAAAGCAAATACGAATTAGAATTGACAAAGAAAATTACGATTACTCAAGTCGATATAAGGAACGATGATGCGATCTGTGTTTATGATGAACAAAGCCCTCAGTTTCTCATTTGAAAACTTGGAAAAAATAACGTGTGCTCGTTTTTTTGACATTTTGAAGAATACGTACACGTAACTTTGAAGCTAAAAATGACGCTTGCAGATGAACACCTTTATCTACTCTTACTAACCGTAAACTCCATCTCCATTCACGTGAAACTTTGGATTAAAGCTAATAAGCGATAAAAAAAATTTTTTCTATGGATCACAAATTGGCGACCAATCGAACAGTTTTATGAAATGCCACATAAAATAGCTCAAAACATTCGTTTAGGCAAAGATGGATGTGTGAAGTTTCAGCTTAGACGATGCATATGGCCGCAACCGTTGAATTAAAGGGTAATACAGATTGTCCCAAAAAATGTGCATACTGTTTGATCGTTGATAACTCTGGTGCATTGATATCTTTCGCCGATCTTTAGGATTACTGTAGAAACATTTAGCGTGCGAAACCATCATGATTCATGTCGCCCAGGAGTTTTTTTCTAAAAAATCAAAAATCGCACATGCTGATGCCACCGCAGCACTTTTTGCGAGTATTTTTTTCTGAGGTTTATCGATAGTGCAATCACATTTCTGACAAACATTAGAGAAGCATTTCAATGGTTTAAGTAGAGCAACTTGCAGAAAAAAGATTACAGTAAACCGCGAATTTCATATTTGAAATCAGCGCCTTTGATCAGCCTAGAATAAAACTATATTTTATATAGCCTTCTTAAAGGCAAAGGAAAATATGGCTCCTAAAGAGCTGAAATCGTCATCGAAGTTTTACTTCAATCATACAGTAATGAAGGGTGGTAATTCGCTCTATACTGTACTAAGTGAAGTCAGAACCACAGGAATACACTTAGAAATCGGTGAAAGACTCAAATGCAAGAAAGTCCTTAATGATCAAACAATGTGCGCATTTTATGAGACACCATGTATCTATTAGGTTGGCGCGAAAGTTCTTGCGTAATTCATAAAATTCAATAACTTTGCAAAACGTGGCACTAAACTGATGGTTTAGTATCTCGAAAATAAATGAAAAGAGATTTGCGCTTCATAACAAATGTTCAAGCTGAACATATTTTGTAAGTTAGCCACTGAGAACGAAGAAAAAATGACGACTTGGAAAATGCGATCTTGAGTTTGGTGCTTCAAAATCGCGGAGGGCCGCTAGCTAGCCCAAAAAAAATCTGCAGAATATCCTTACACACTAAAAGTCCATATGTAATGTAGCAGGTTTCGGTCTTCTATGGTAGGGCAAAAAGAAAAGTGAAAAAGTCATTTCTGAGAAAATCCCTTATCACCGTACTTTTTGCAGCAAAAACACTGCTTACCGTTCCGAAAAACAATGTTCTATTAAGCACAAGGTAAAAAATCTAGTTTCAAAAGTTTATCTGTAAAAGGACTGCAGCGATAAAGGCGGTTTTCTTGTAACTATGACATTTCCAAAAAACTTTTTGCTTTTGCATTTCCATAGAGATGAAGTCTGCCAAAGTAACATATGGACTTTTGGTGTGTGAGGAATTTTAACAAATTTCGGGGTTAGATAGCGGTCCTTCGCAATCTTCTAGCAGCAAACTCAAAATCGCAAGTCATAAATCGTCATTTTGAAGCTTCCTTCTCGGTGGCTAACTTATAGAATGTTTAGCTCAAGCATCTGTTAAGGAGCGCAAGGCTTCCTCTATTTTTTTTTGATACTAAAACATCATTTGGCGCTACTCTTTGGAAAATCATTGAATTTTGTTTGCATAACGCAAGAACTTTCACGCCAAACCAATATATCAGTGGCGGTCCCAAGATTTCCGTTTTTTTTGGGAAGGGGGGGGGGACAAAAATTGACCACGCACTCCGAAAAAATTTTGCAGATGCTTCTCGAAGTTTTTTCTCGAGATCTCGGGCCCATAACCTCTAAAATTTAGGAAAACGGGCGTGGCGGCAACCACGCTTTTAGAAAATTTTTTTACAAGGATAAAATGAATCTTAAAAATTTCTTGATAGTATTTTAATATTTTACTAGGATAAACAAGTCATTTGCACATTTTTTTCAAACTCATGTACCGCTTGTGTTTGATGCTCAACCATCTGTCACGGCATTCTTAACACGGACTATAGCCAAAAACTCGGGGGAATTATTTGTCCAGCACGTAGGTTCAGTACGTGGAGACATGAACCGATGCGTGGTTCCCTCGCGCATCGCATGTCATGCGATTCCACCACTTTTAATTCTGCAAAATTGGGGTCTGGGAATGGAACTTATCTACCCAAAACTTGCGGCAGCGTAGTTATAGAGACCAAGAGGTCAGCAACGCTAATTAGCACCTGAGCGGCATCGTATGTGGAGCTGATCTGTGACCACAGAATCCCCGCACCTCATCCAGGTGCACAAACGCAGATCAACTCGGCAAAAGGTTTAGGTGTTGATTAGCGTTGCTAACAACTCATGGCCTTTATGACTTTGCGGCAAGCTTCTAGGTGGATAGATTCCCTCAAGCACTGGTTCCTATAATCGAGTTTCAGGTTTTTCCAACGTGTGTTCAAGATCATATTAAAAAACAGGATTGCGGAAAGAGGAAGATGTTTGACATTGAATACTATTTAGCTTGTTTGTCTGCTTTCATTCTGAGGAACTTGCGGGTAGGTTCAAAAATCAAAGAAGATTTACACCGTAATAACAAACGCAATGAAGGGAAAGTCTCTGTTTTCGAGTTTTTTTTTGGCAGAAATTGATACTTCTTATAAAGTAGAGCCGACAACGAAACGTAAAACCGAACTTCGATGGTTAAAATTAAATATTTGCAATACATAACTGCATATTTGGAGAAAATTATGATTGCAAAGGCCGGGATTCGCGGTCTTACTTTTCGTTTTTTTTTAATTTCGAGACTAATAAAATATAGTATTAGGTTGTCCCGACAGTTTTGTCGGTTTTTTCAAACCGCTATAAAACCATGCACAATAAAGACCTGAATGAGTTTCAGAATGCATTCAATGCAGCTTTTTCTTCTTTTTCAGATGGATACATTTTCGAACCACAATCTTGTATGCTTTCTTTGATAATTGCCAAAATTCTCCACCTGCCAATTTTTTCTGCTTAAACTTAGGCGAATTTTTAAGAATTTCATTCCATGGTTTCGGAAAGGGTTAAGTATGGGTCAAATAGAGCAATTCTCGGGCTATATGGCAATGTTTTAAGATTCTCCCAATCTTCTGTCTTTAGCTTCAAAAAATTATTTTTTCCGAGGTCTCGATTTTTGCAAAGTCATAAAACACGCAACCGCAGCAAAAATCTGAAAGCTTCTGAAATTTCTGCGAATTGAAACTCGATTGGTAATAAACGATAATTATGCAACGTAACCAAGTTTGATTTGTTTCGAAAAAGCAGCTTTTTGGAATTTTCGGTACGTTTACGTGGTAAACGCAATCAAAAAGCAGCGGTTTTTCTTCAATAAATAATTATAACGGACTTGAGAAACGTGTTCCATTTAATTTAAAGTGAATACAATGTAGCCAAAGATTTGCTCTACATAACAGCTACTAGCGCTCTTTGAAAACAACAGGATAAAAATTTTCAAAATTCAGGAAAGATTTGGCGTTAGTGCTGAACTGCTCAAAAAGCCATGGAGATAGCATTGCAAAGACAAGGTAGATCAGAGAGCACATTTAGCTGTAAGAAAGAGGATAAAAATCTGAATCAAGTGATACCTAGATCGTCCCTGAATTGGTATTCTTTGGGTTTTAGTGGGCGATGAAAAAACCGACAAATTTTCGGGACAACCTAATACATATGGAGTACATGTATATACAAAAACGGCAAAAAAATTTTTTCAGGTTTTTTCGGGCTATAGTTCGATTAATCTGATTGCGCCATGATCACTTCCTCCGGCTTCGAGCTTCCGGTTAATCATGACTTTCGAGTCATTTTTACACAATATGTGAATCTGCACACTATGCGCTGCAACCGACCACATTCTTACTGTTAGGTTGATGCATAATTCCTGCACCAAAATAGGTACAGACCGCAATAATCCAGAATAATCCTATACCCAAATAGGATTCCAAAAAATCATTAGATAGAACAAGCCTAGCTCTACAAGATAGTGCTTAAATATCTGCACCAGCTTTGATCCACGCGAAGTTTTGTGCCGAAAACTGAAAAAAAAACCCATGCGTTCGGAAACCTTAAGACCAATCAAAACAAAATTGTAACTTTGTTCAAAAAGCTCCTACAAAATTCCTTCCTTGCTCACGCGTAGACCCGCGTAAGAGAATTACCTATGCGGTTGCTGTATTTTTTTCTCAGCTAGACGATGAGAAAACGAAGTTTTCTAAGTTTTTGCCAAATTAGTGCTGAGATATTCTAGCACTAATAATTGTATAGTACATGCCGTTAGCAGTGAAACTTTACATTTTCAGCCTTCTAGAACACTTAGTCCACGAGAAATGATGAGTCTAGCTCTCCTTCCGAATTTTTCTTGCCTAATTGCTAAAAATTCCATATTTGTCGTAAACAGCTGCTGTAAAGAGCTGAAAATTCACACTCACGCTTCTAAGGTCCTATAGTATACAACTGTCATGCTAGAACACCTCAGCATTGTTTTGGGAAAAACATGAAAAACCTCGTTTTCTCAGTTTCTAGCTAAGAGAAAAATACAGCAACTGCATAGAGAAATGTCTAATACGGAATGACAATGCATGAGCAAGTTAGGGAATTCAAAGGATTTTTCTGAACTAACTTCCAATTTTTTCTTGGTTTTTCGAGGGCGCTTGAATCTTCTTCATTTTTGGCTTCAATCTTCGCTTAAACCAAAGCTGTGCAAATTTTTAAGAGCTGTCTTGTAAAGCTAGGTTTGCTCTATCTGATAATATATCGAATCCTATTTGGTATATAAGATTATTGCAGATTATTGCGGTCTGTACCTATTTTGGTGCAGGAATTATGCATCAACCTAATAGTAATCTTCGGTAAAGCCTTTCCAGTGTAACAAATGTAGAAATATGTAGTATCATGTTATTCGCAAAACGATGCGGGTTTCGTCGCAGAGTTTCAATATGAAGTCTTCGGGAAAGCATACATCACATCCTTTCAACATGCTCTTTTTTAGCAAATTGTAATCCTGAAAGGAATTAGTATTTGGCAGGGAATTTTTATAGCGCGCAGCCACAACCAGAACTGCAGAATAGCCACTCAAAATTTTTCAGGAACTTCTGAAAAACAGAAAAAATCGCAAAAAAATCAACCATTTCCATTCGTATTTTTGTGGACTGTAAGCTTCTTAAGTTCTCATTTTCCCTTTTTTTACTACCAATGCAGCTTAGGAGTTTCTACGTCAAGCAGTTCCTAATCTCTGGTCTTTTTGGTAAAGCACAAAAAGACATTAAAACTGTTTTTTGTCTTAAGGAAGCGTAGACGGCCACGACTGTTGATCATGTTTAGATCTCAGCATCCCTGCTCCAATGATTGATAGAAGGCATTACTATGGGTTTTGTAGGACAAGTCAGCATTTTTAACTATATTATCCTAAAATCATCTTTTTTGAAGAATGAGTTCAAGTCAAAACAATGTGTAACAAAAAATCTCTATTTCGAGGCAAGCAAAACGTTCCAGGAAAAGCAGAGAAAGCGCTTTTAGCTATTTTGCATTGCGCAAGCTGATCGTAAGAAGCGCAAACAAGTAAACGGTTGCTTTGAAAAATGCACTTACAGAAACCTGCATCGAACAACTCAATATTAACAACTATTAATATTAACAACTCAATATTTTGCGAACAACTCAATATTAACGCATAAATCCGAATGAAAAAAGAGAAGGAAACAAGGAATAATCACTAAAACATTCATGGCTCAAAGGCTTGTAGTACACTAACACTAGTGGAAAGGCAGCACTTCTTTGGCATACGCACAAAAATTTTTCTCGTTTTCTAGTCAAAGAAAAAAACAGGAAATTTACAAATAAATCTGAAGTGAGATGTAGAGGCGGGAACGAGTAGGAGATTTTTAGGTTTTTATTGAACAGACTTTTTTTTCTCTTTTCAGATGTTTTGATCTTTTTTTATTGCAACCAAACTTCAAAGTTGGTTTGATACTCAGATAATCTTGAGAGTTTATATTGTTCTATTGTAAAGCAGTAGAATTCCAGATTGTAGAAGAGATATAACTTAAACTTGCGCATAAAGTTGCTATAGTGCAAGACTTATGTAACATCCCACACTCTCAAGTTCTCAACCGTTTTACGTAATCAGACTATATTTCTAGGAGCAGACAGCAAGGAGGTCGAAAAAAGGGTTGTATGTATCAGCTTGCATTACAGTTGGTATTCTTGTTATCGTTATCATCGTAGTGATATGCTTACTATGCTTCCCAAGTACTCCGCGGACGTAAGTTTTTAGCCCATTAGCAACTCATCAATCCAAATTCAAAATCGCTTTCGGGCCGTGTAGGAATACCACTGCAGTTTTTGGTTCCAAAAGAACTTAAAAGTTCTTCAATGATCTACAAATTTTGCACAAGCATGTGTAACGAAAAATTGCAAAAGAGACACTTTGATAAATCAGAGAAAGTACTTCAAATATGCTCAATTCAAAAATGTTGACCAAAGAGAGCGATCGCAGCAGAAGTGCTTGAATAGAAACAATGAATTGTCGTAGTGTGAGATATTATATTTATCAATTCAGTGTGAGATTGTCAAGAACGCTGTACACTCGTGATCAACGAGCTTGATCCTTTTCTTACCTTTCTTGAGTAGTGAACCATTCGTGGATAGGTAACCACTCTAACTTCTTGAACACACATATGCAAAGCGAACTCTAAAATGAGTTTGAGCGGTTTTGACTTCCAGATACTGTTCTACATGCGTTTGTTATCATTTTCGCTTTTTGAAGAACAATTATGTACAGAGAAAATGATTGATTACATTTGGTTCTTACCTAGAATGCAAACGCTTCATGGTTCGGAACTTCCTGGAAACTGCTCCATCTTAGATGATGTCGTGTTTACCTTGACATGCTGAGTTAATGTGCGAACGAGAGTCAAATGTGTTGATGCGATCTGGATTCTCTTCTACGATCCTCCCCCTTTGAAGGCTCCATCCGTACACCTCCCCCCCCATTCTCCCACTTCCCATTTCACACTTTCTGCGGTAAACTGATTAAACTGATTGAGTAAAATTGCAGTGAACAAGCTTCCATAGCTCCAAAGAAATCTGGATGAGGCCCAAAGACAAAACCTTTTTTCATTTCTTGTTGCCATACATAAAATTAAAAGAAATGGGAAAGGTTATGAAATAGGACCAAATCCTGCACAAATTATTAGAGTAACTCCAACGTACAGCTAAATTGTGTGGGCCCATGAAAAACGTTACAAAAAGATTTAAAATTATTGATTGTTATAGAAGTCAAAGATATGCGCTCTTTCGTTGTGTGACACTTCAAAGTGGCTTCAGACTTATCGTTAAACACAACATTTTTATCTGATATGATTAAAAAGATGGCAATTTTTCAAAAGTGAAAGGATCAAATAGAAATATTGAGTGATATGAGCAAGTTTTTTTTAGCTAATGCATGTTCTTTTATATTTTCCCCTGTCTCAATAAGGCGCTTGATTTTTTGCATTGCGTAGAATGCGGTTAGAACTACAAATCAATTCAAGCTGTTCAAATTTTGGTGACAAAATTGTCATGTTTGCCATTCGAAGACTTGACAACTTTTTGGTTTTAAGCGTTTGAAGGCAAGCACCATGGGAATTGACTCAAATAAAGCAGAACAAAATTTGATGACATTACTGAAGTTGCCCAACCCATTATATTGGTGTTTTGACAAATCTGCAAATCTTTTTTGTTAGTGACACAAGTGTAGGAGAAATTAAGTGTTCCGATAATTACTTAGATATTTTGTGGGATTCACCATAATGTCACGATTTTGGCTCAAGCACGCTCGGCTTTCAGTAGCTAACCTGTGTGTTTCAAGTTTTCTTTCACGTGTTTCTTTGATTTAAGCTACTATACTTCCCCTAAGACATCAAACACAACAGTCAGAAGAAGGCTACTTTGGGAGAAGAAGGAGGATATAGACGGCATCAATCATACAAAGCAAAAAACTAGCCAAAGACCAGCATACTTGACATGCAGTCAGGCTTGCTAAGCGTGCACCTAAAAGAAACTGCTGCGCATCTATACACTTCATGAAATATGGCTTAACTCTGAGTACTGTGAAACATTACTGTTAGATGTATAAGTAGTTACTCTCTCGTCTGTTTTCAACACACATTCGAAAACTTCTTGGTAGAGGCCTTAGCAACCTGAAGGGATCTGGCCATTAAACATACAAAGAAGAGCTTGTTTGCCTTTTTTAATGACCTTTTATCTTACAGATCAGAAAAAGGTGAAATAGCGGATACGACAACAACACAAAAAGGCGAAGGAACGAAAGCGATAGAGAAGAAAAATGTTTATGTCCTTCCACAAGAATACCGTCTTCCAAAAACTCTTGTGCCTTGTAAGCATGATTGCTATACTCGCTTCATGACTAGGTGTCGTGTAAAATATAGGAGTTTTATTTCATTTTTTTGAAGTGCAACGCAATCTGGCTATAGGTCTCCCAAATTATCCTTTCAACACTTCAGCTCCAGAGAACACAACGTCAACAAGACTTTGCTGCGCAAACGTAGCTAGCTTTGCATGTTTGTAACTAATCCAAATCTGCTTTTGTTCTTTTGTAGAAAGTCTCTTACACCCAAAGTTACCGACTGTACATGGAAGGAATTAGAAATAAGCAGATGTTTACAAATCGTTTGCGATGTTCAGCACTGCGCAATAAATTTCAAAGTCATCATCGGGCAAACGCGAGGGTGCATTAGAATTGGTGCGAACCTCTCTTTCGCAGAGGTGACGCATTGTCATCATTTGAACTTGGTCCAAAAGTCGTTTTCTAGGCTAGTAAACGAAACAAAGCAAGCTCTACATAAAGGCGTTGAAACATTTCTACAAAGCAAGTTTCACATCATGTTCAGGAAAAAACGCAAAAATCCGTGAAAATTTTTCAAGAGAACACTCTTCATCTAACATCTATATGCATAGCTTGTTTTTTTAGCTTCTGGAAAATAAGAAATTTTTCGCACTTTTCAAAAGCAATGCTGGAATCTTTCCCCATGATTCTGTAGCGTGATAATACTAACCACAACTTTTTACCCATTATCTCACGTTGACGACTGTTTGACACATCTGGTGTGTCAAGGTTTGGATATTCTAAAAAGGATACTATTTTAGGAAGAACTCACTTAGGAGTTACCCTTTGCGTCGGATCCAAAATCAACCTCCTTGTTTTTTGTCTTCCTTCCAGAGTCACCCTAGATATACTGCGAGTGGTAATATGCATGGTTTTTCAAAAAATTTGACTGCTTTGCGAAAAGACATGGCAAAAGGCAAACAAGTAGAACTTTGTGTGATCGTCAGTGTGTTATAAGAGCGATAGCTTCCAAAAAATGTGAAACTTAACGTTAAAAAGTCCTAAAAACATTTTCTTATCTTTGGACTACTTCTATCTCCATTTATAATACAGAAGGTGTGCATATGAATTATATAGCTGAACGGAACAGATCGTGAACAAGCTAGAGGTTTGCTTAGAAATTATTCAACTAAAGTCTGAATTTTTCTGAGCTTTTAAATGTTTTGAGATTTCAAGTTTCAATTTAATGTAAAATAAACTTTGTGCGAATGTAGAGACCACTCTGTGGAGCTTGCTTTGTTCTATAGAAACCTGTTCTGAAGTTTCCTTAGAAGTCAGAAGAGAAGGCACTAAGGTAAAAAGTTGAAATGGAAACCGTGTCGAGTCGAAGTGGCCTTTCCAGATGAGACCCATACTGCTTTGAAGAGTATTAAGCGGTGATGCCAAATCTGCCTTCCAAATCTGCCAAGCGCCTCTGGACGCCGAGTTATGACCGTTCTTCGGAACGAAATATGAATGCAGAATTTAGGTAGAATTGATTGTTACAATCTTTCCAGCGCTCAGATAAAGCAATGTTAAGTATTAGCATAATAAATAAAATGTATCCATTGCATAAACAGCTCTGGTACTTGACATTGGACCATTTGAGCAAATTTGGGCGATTTTGCGTCAGTTTTGCGTTCAATTTACTGACCTGAAAAACGAGCATAACTCGGCGTCCAGAGGTGCTTGGCAGATTTGGAGAGCAGAATTGGAATCAACGATTAATGCTCTTCAAAGCAGTATGGGTCCCATCTGGAAAGGCCACTTCGACTCGGCACGGTTCCCTGTTTAGTTTCCGTGTGTTGAGCAAATCCTTGGCAACCAGACACATATTGAACCTGCAAAAATCTTTGTTAAGGAAGAAGCAAGAACTCAAAAGCTTCACAGCGTTTTTCTTCAAACTTGTCTTTTTTTGACATGGCAATGCTCCCTTATGAGAATTGATAGGCATCTTGTCTAAAAAGGGATTGATAGAGAACTTTTCATAGATTATTTTGCACCCTAAAAAATCCCATAGGCTCTGCGCTACCGAGAGATTTTCTTGAGCGAGCGAAAGAGCAGCCACTTTTTGACCTCGCTTCAGCGGATGTGTGCATGCCTATTTACGAATTATGTAAATTACAATTGACGTGAGCGCCGAAAAGAAATTGGTGGATGAACTCTGCTAGTCTTTGCTTTACCCTAGCGCCTCCAACTTTGAAGTTGTCGATTACTTCTATTCGCAGAAAGTTATTACTTGTAAAAATCTATACAGAAAATTATTGTTTGACAATAAATTTTACTAGCAAAACGTTTTCTTCATGAAACTGAACTTATGCGTATGCTAGCCTGTTACACCCGTATTCCGCGACCAATTAAAAGACTTGACCTGAAGGGCTCAACATGGAGATTACCTCGCAAGAACGTATTTATAGGGTGAGAACGTACCTCGGTCGCTTGGATTTTTGGCCTAAAATCTCCTTACACTAAAAATTTACAGGAGTTTGATATGCTTTAGAAAGCGCAAGAAAAGCACTTTCTTATGATGTTAACAGTACCGCGTCAAAGATGAAATTCTCTTAGAACAGTTGCTTCAAACATAAAGCAAAAAAATAGGACAGAACTTATGCAGCAACCTAATATATCAAATCAATTCAAAAGTTTGTACCGTTTTCCACCCATCTTCAAATCACTCAGATTAACACATTTCTGACCGCGCTGCACATGATACACTATCGACAGAAAATTATTGCAGATGCAGGTTTGCGACATCGAGTGCGGCAGAACAACCTCGCGCTTTTTTTAAGCTGAGAAAATCGCATTTTTGAGGGGATTCTGCTGATGCAAGACAAAGGAGAGTACAAGATCCGACCAGGAAACAAACTTACCCATTTTGAAAAACGAAAATCTTTCTTGTATAGTTATGAAAGGAAGGCTTAGGATACGGGCAAAATCACCGATTCAACCACTTTTAGACGCTAGTCACAAATATCCTGTTGATTTTGCAAAAACGCGCAATTTTCTAAAGCAATAGTGGGTATACTGTTGATAGATTTACTTATTTGAGTGTGATATTTGTGACCATCCTGCCAGATAACCCAAGGGTCTAAGTTTGAAAGATTCACAAACTTTAAAATTCGCCAATTCTAGAATGGTCACAGAGCCATGGCATTATGTAGAATTATGAGTCAAGTTTCGAACGGTTTGAAATACGTAAAAGTGAAGTGCAAGACACATCACCCTAGCGTAAGTTTTCCACGCATTTAATCTAGAATTATGCAACGAAAAAAGTCCCCCAATGTGTGCTACACATGCTGCAGCGCGCTAATCTGCTACGCGCGCGATTTCGCGATTAGGAACGTGAGAAAGGTAGGCAAATGCTCTAACAACATGCTCTGATGTTTGATGATTTATCCCATTTTATTTTACTATCCAGCGTCACCCCTGCTTCGCAGAGGCTCGCACTGGCTCTGCTATTTGTGTACCTTACTCATTCTCGTAAAATCGCACTGGAACTCACCGCGCTATGCCGACTACCACGAATAAAATGCAAACAACTACTCATTTAAAGAATTTTTCACGTGAGATCGGTGATTTCGCGTGGATGAAACTTTTCGCAGGGAGACAAACGTAAATTTGAGTAGGTTGAAGTTGTCATGGCTTGGTAGTCGCCATATGGGCAATAGTAATCGTGAGCTACATTTTTGTGCGAAAATCTTCTCAAATGCTTGGCTAAAACCCTGGCAAATTGACCATTTACGCAATCAATTCTTCTTGGCGCCGTTTTCGTTCTTCTGTAGTAAACTTTTGACCACTTTTCGGGCTAAAGTCCATCACTTGCACTTTTCCTTATCAACCACATCCTCGACTTTGCAAAAAGTAGTGATAAGGACCCATTTTTGCGGCACAGAAGCCAGGTGGGACCGTTTGGCGCGCAATTTTTGAGGGATCCACCCAACGAATCTACTCGTGCTTTTGCATGTTGGACTTTCATGAAGGTAGCACGCGCTGTGCAAAATTTGGGCTTAGAACGCTGGCTAGAACACGCTCTACCAATTTCGTAACAGACGGACACACACACAAAAACACGTAAACAACCCTTAGCCCGTTATTATAAGGTCTTGATACATTAAGGTTCACCAACAAGAAAAAGACAAAACTCAGACATGTAGAACAAAATGATACCAGCTTGCCAAGGCATTAGGAGGTGAATGGTGAACGTATAGGCAAACCAAAGCCTAAGCCCTACTGGATATAGCGTTTCCCATTTGACAAATATTGATGAGAGTACGCGATATTGCTTTGAGGAAAAAAACAGCTTTAGAATCTTGCATTTCTCTAAATTATTTTTAAAACCCTTTTCTGAGTGCCAGCGAGCTTACGAAATTAGCTGACTAGATCTGGATGAAGATAGAATTTAGAGGATAGCAAGACTCTAAATTGTCAAGTACGGAAGCATAGCATCTGTGCAGAAGCGATTTGGGCACTTTAGGCTTAGAGTGGAATGAAAATAAGAAGTGGAATCAACCCGAGACGAGCCCATACTTTACGCGTGTTACCCGTGTTACCGATGTTACCAAGGTTACTCGTGTTGCTAGTGTTACCAGTGTTACCGCTTTTATGCTGTTGAATATGGAAATGATCACAATACAATCTCAGCAATCTCACTGGGTGTGAGTACGACTAACACTAGTCACACGAGTAACAGGGATAACACTGGAACCGGGTAACACAAGTAACACGAGTAATACGAGTAACACTAATAACACCGGTAACACGGGTAACACGAGTGAAGTATGGGCAAAGCCTATGAGGCGGAGGTGAAACACCGGTCTAGAAATAAAAAGTGTATGAGACGGTAACCAAACCGAAACGTCTGCTGTGCAAAAATATGTTATTGGGGGTAACAGCATGCTTACAGATGAAGCAAACTCCCCTTACGCACATCCTCATCCTCAAACAAAGCAATCACGCATGGCATCTATACAGGTGTCCCAAAAGTCTTCAAGCCTAATATTTCTTCAGCTGCAACTGTACGAAACAACATTGTCACATGAAACTTTGCAGGAATATTATGAAGAACCTATCTCTATATATATAAAGCAGAAAATCTGTGAATTTATTTGTGCGCATTCGGGTACAGGTTGTGCAGGGTGTGCAGGATGTGCAGGATGTGCAGGATGTGCAGGATGTGCAGGGTGTGCAGGATGCGCAGGTTGTGCAAGCTGTGCAGGGTGTGCAGGATGGGGAGTTTAGACTGATAGATTGGCTCCAAACCGGACTGAAACCCGGGATGCCTGCTCGTAAAATAATACGGTACACTCAGTTTTCGAAAAAAACCCTTCACACAAGCCCTCACACTTTTGCGGAACGCATGCACCGTAACAAAAGACGACAGACGGATAATTGTCTTCGAGAATGTTTCGAATCTTCTAGAGCAAGCGTTCTAGACTGCCCAGAATTTGGTGCGGAACTGAGCAAACCTTGCTTTCCATGGCTGATCACAAAGAAAAGTCAAAGGCTCTCGAGCCGGCAATTGAAAGCACGTTGTTCTGTGAAGCACGTCTGTGAGATTCAACAAAAGTGTCAAAATGTAGCAATCAATTTCTTGAGAACATCAGGGAAACAGCATTTTTTTTTGTATCTTAATCCTGCATTAACGAATAGAGACTGTTCAATAGTTTTGCACTGTAGACATAGAGTGAAGCCTAGCTTTACAATGTGCAGTTTAGATTTCCGCAAAAACTTCAAGAGCAAATTAGTTATAAAGGTTTGAGTAAAGGGTACTTTAACATTGGGTCATCCTCAAAATCGTAGTATTGTTTGCTCCAAAAGCAATATTTTGAGAATGTACAGCGCGAAATATGTTTTTTAAGGAAAACTAGAAACTAAACGAAGTACTCATACGCAAAAATTTGACTGAAAAGCGAGGAATACCTAACAAAGTTTTTACTTTGGGAAGTTAGGCACAAAGACTTTTGGGACACCTTGTACAATCTGCGACGTAGCTCAGACATTCTGCCGTGATTGAGCAACTTGTTATACATAGGCTTCCAAGTTCTGAGTACTCACACCATTAGTGCTTAAGCCTTCGCTGCCGCTTTTAACGTGGGTCCTACACAAGATGGTCATTGATTCTCGGTAGCACAAGTGCTGTCGAAGCGTGAGAAAACACTTAGTGGATACCGCAAACGCGGCCCAAGCGAAACGGCCGCGAGGGTCCGAACCAATTTTGCTTTGACATTCTGAGACAGCCTATACTATTTGCACATTGAATAATTACATAGTTTACATAGATGCAGAGAAAGTTTCAATATATATCCTAATTTCACGAGCACAAGATGCTGTCGTTTTCAGATCGGAGGCCTGCGCTGCGTACTCGACCTATGCAGGGTGCGCGCACGTGCACAATAATATGGAACGTAAACTGCATACGCTCGTGCGTTGTGAATGCCGCGCTCTGGCTCAACCCCTGAGACCATCAGGACATGCTAAGGAATTTCGCGAAAAACCCTACGTACTGCTGCTTACCTAAAAGAAGAGTGCGGAAGAGCGAGCATTCGGCTACATAGTCACAGCGAGCGGTGGAGCTGCTCGCATTTCACAAGGGAATATGCTTCCTTCCGCGGATTTAGGATACCCTATGTCCGATCTGAGGTATCTTATCTCAGTATAACCTATCTTCGTAAGTGTCGCGCTGTAAAAGCAAATTTCTGATGCAAAATTTGTTTTTTAGTGAAATAAGTACCACATTGTTTGATACTTGAAGTCTTACGGCTTTGAAATTTTTCCCTGCATGTTAATTCGCTTTCAAAAAATCAGAATTACAGCATGTCAATAGTGCAGCTCAGTACAAACCTGCAACATAAAACTTACTTTTTTGTCGGTTCCCTTCTGAATGACTCTGCTTCAGCGTCATATGAGCTCGTTCTCACAGTATATTTGCCGTTCTACGTGGATATTCCGATAAGGAAAAATCTGACAATTGATGCAGAAGTGACAATCAATATGACCGTACGCAAACCAACCAATACCATAGTCCTCAACCAAGCAAGAATTTCCATAATAAAAGAAAAATGCAGTGCAACTTCAGTAAGTTGTTTGATATTATATTTCGATAGGCACTTGGGAGCTGCGATCCGTATTGATTTACTGCGCGAATTCATCTTTCATTGTGAAACAGCAATCAATGACATTGACAGTTACAGCTTGAAAAACCAAAAGCGTAAAAATTGTAATGAAAGGCGCTCATGTAAAGATCACAGTAAAGGGCGAAAATATTGATTTGCAATACATTGACGTGTTAAATTGACTTGTAATTTATCCCGTACTTTCAAGTTTATTTTTGTAATTTTTTGAACAGATCATGCGATGTGCATGTATACGACCGGTTTTTGAAGTTTATAGTACCACGTTGAAAAACTTAAGATTGCTAAGACCCCCCCCCCTTTTGCTTCTAACCACGAAACTATGCGTGTTTGTATTTACTTATGTATGAGCACAGTTATTAAGGCTCTGTGCATAAGGTTTTGTTAGAAATTCACATCAAAAACATTTGTAGTGAAAATTCGAAAATTTACCGAATGTAAAAAGGCACTGCAATTATTAGCGCTGCTCTGACCTCTTTTCACAAATTGCTTTATTTGTGGCAATGTTTGAATGCGCTCCGGTAACATCAAGACCAACGTTTTACATCAGATTAACATGCAATCGCAAATTGGATAGATGCTGTTTGCTACTGATGTAATAATGGCGCCCCACAGTGTATAATTAGACGTGACATCAGTTTTGAACATGAATATAGCTTAGAACAGCGCAAGCATACTTGTAAAAATTGGTCATATATTTCGGATACTTGGTCGATGTGGCCTTCTTACTTCAAGCATTATTTACGTATAAAGCCTACAGCTGGCTCTAATCTGTGTTCCCTGTTAAGCGTATGCGAGAAATTTGTGGAAGTCTCTAAAGCAGAAAATTCGACGCGCGGCAACAATAAAATTATTCAAAACTGTACCGTGTAAGCGTTTAAGACAATGATGATCGACAGAGCATGGACACCTTGCTTGGCAAAACCATCCTTATCATAACTCCCTTAGGGCACTGAAAAGACTTCAATAGTTGTTTTTACCTAAGCCATACTATTAAACTTTTATCACAAAAATTCTAGCAACTCCTCTCACAGGGGCCTAAATTGAAGTCAATTTTGAAACCATTCCCCTCTTTCTAAGACAGTATGCATTTCCTTTAAAGAGGCCGCTTCGACCAAGTATCATTCCTTTGTCAGCTGATGTAGCCATACGTGTGGAGTAATAGCTCCATACGTTCATTACATATAGCCATGTTCTGGCTCACTTTGAGTACGATGAGAGAACACAGTTCACCAGAAAAAAGACTGGAGGTCATTCGGGGCTTTGCCGCGGATGTTATAGTTATGTGACTGAATAAATGTGAACGAAGTGAGTATAGTGATCGCATCTCAAAAATATTCCAGCAAAATGAACTGCGTTTTCATAGCTATTTATACACTAAAGAGGAGGTTGTTGCGAAAACTTTCCCAGAATTCAAGACTTCTCCCGCTTAAACTCATTTTAGACTACGATTGAGTTCCAGAAGTTCACAAAAGCTGTTGAAATTTAACAAAAAAGAAAATGCGCTTACATCTTACGCAAAAAGTCGCGAACGAAAATGCTGGCTTATTTCGTTAATGAGACGCTATCGACGCTTGCGATAGTGTCGCTGCTTCTACTTGAGCCATGACGATCTGATATATGATGTTGCAGGGTCCCGTTGGGACCCCGCGGAAATCTCCGGCCAGAGCCAAATGCCCGTCGGCTATGGTCTTCCTCCTTTGCTCGTCTGCGCCGCGCAATGCGCGCTACCATGCTACCCCAAACGCGGGCATAGGGCATGGCTCTGCTATGTACTCTTTTCCGGGTGGGGGAACGAAAGCCGCCAGGTCCAGCCGCCTTTCGCGGCCAGCTGGTCCTTTCGCAGCGTTGTTGCATGTTGTTCCAGGACCAGCAGTCCGCGGAGGCGGCTGGACCTGGCGGCTTTCGTTCCCCCACCCCTCTTTTCCTTGTTGTTAAAACCCAATTCTAGCAAACTGTATATCAAAATGCTCTTCATCTCTACTTTGTCGCTGACAATGGCGCAAAACCCCATTTTTCGAATCTAACAAGAAATCTGGCAAAAACCGTGTTGTGGCAAATCTCTGTTTTTTCCTAGTTCAAATCATTAAACGTATTTTTCTTGCATTCGATTGATCTTGCTTCCTTTTATAATGCAGACAGCGTCGCAAAGATTACTTTTTTAGATTATGGCGAATTTATTGCGAAAAATCCCAAAAAATGCGTTTTTCTTTACCTTCTTCTCTTTTGTTTTCGCAGCGGTTTTTTTCCAATCGCTGACTGTGACACTGCTCGGAATAATGAGCACAACAACCTAGATAACGTCACAGCAAACAGCGACAATGCTGAAAAATTCAGTACGAAATTGAATTGGCTTTGACGTGCACTTCAACTTGGTAAAAACCAAATTTGGGGATTTCACAACTAATTCTTTTATTATCTTCTCCTCTAGACCACTTCCAAAACATGGTTTTTTTTGAAACAATCACAAAAAAAGAAGTTAGTTTTTTCTCATCTCTCCTCTCCCACCCCCTCCCAACCCGCGTTGTGGATTGCCTGGTCCTGGAGCAGAAACCTTCAATTCGAAATGCCGCCAAATAAAAGATTTGAACACTCTTGCAGCGTTTCTATACGTTTCCCAGAAGTTTCTTTCGCTATGCCTTTCTGTTTTGCATCTCAACCGATTATTTTCTTAAGCAACTTTTACTTTATGTGAAAGGCGAATATTCAAACAGCCCTCACTTTTAAGGTCCTAGCTTTGAACTATCGAAGTATGAGCAGTTCTTAAAATACTGATTTCAAATTTTGTGTGAGCGGTTGCGTTTTTCCCACAAAATCATCTCCCCAGGGGCGAGAGGTACTGCGATAGAGTTAATGTAATGGTGAGTGACTTTGCCCACATGCAACAGACACGTTTCTGTTGCATGCTGTGCTTTTGCAGTTTTCTCGAACATACGTCATTCTTTCTGGGAAAGCTATATAATGAAAACTACGATGGTCTCAGCTTGACTGATCATTTCGCACTCTTTTCTCAAAGAATATCAAAACAGTACGCACATGTTCTACCTTATAAAATACTAAACTTTGAAAAAGGATTTGAGCTATCAAGAACCACACATTGCCTTAGAAAGAAAACCAAACATGCTGACAGCTTGACGCTAGGCTACTCAGCACCGCTGAGTAGCCTAGCGTCAAGCGTTACAACAAATTTGCACTTTACTGCAATGCGTCGTTTATATGACATGCGGAGCATACTGTTAGAACCGTTTTTAATCTCTCAAAAAGTGATTGCATCATTATGAAACCTCAAGTACTCAAAAAAGTATGCAATGAAGCCAGCATGCGTGAAAACCTCAAACCACAATTGTTCACATTTTTCGAAATCTTCTAACGGCCTTTTGCACAACGGAGTTGTATGCTAAAAATTCTCACCGTAATCCTACAGCAACAAGGAGCGATCGGTGTGTTGTCGCATGTTGTATCTCTAAGGCCCGTATGCAATAACATCCCTGTGGTAAGGGGAGCGGCGTCCCCAATGATGAAGAGGCCGGCGTGGCATTCGCTCGCGGCCCTTTCATAATGGGGAACGCCGCTCCACTCGCCGCGGGGATGTTGGTGCATACGGGCTAAGTTGAAGCAAATTACAAAATGGTAGCTGAACGTAGGCAAAAATTTTTAGGAAAAAAAGATATTAACTATTAAACAGCGTACATGATCTTGGTACACCCTGTTATCTGTCATTATATGACTTGTTGAAAGAAAACGTATGTTTGAAACAAATGCAAAGAAGTTATTGGTAACAGGTATCAAACTCTAGTGTTTTTCCAGCGAGATCAATTCACTCGCAATGCAGACCCACATTCAAAGTATCCCGCGCTTTGATAGAGCGGAGACGATTTTTGTGGAGAAAGAGCTTACAACTCCTTTCACAGGAAAGCAAATATTTGTGGATTATTGTTATACACAAAAGTGCGCCAAAAAATCAAACGAAAACATCCAAACATCCAGAAGATATGCAAAGGTCATCCAAGACATCATACAAAAAAATCGTAGCATGTCGAAAAAGATCATAGTTTTCTTGCTGGAAGGACCAGGTCGTTCTCCTTTTCAAGAAATGGGGATGAAATAATGAAAATAAACTGAGATTGACGTAAGAGCAACTAATTCATTAACATTTTTTCCAGTGTGGCCAATTCGACCAAATATCCTTTCATGTACAGATTCAAAAGAATTTGAATTTACCTTGCCTAAGAGGCAACTATCTTGTTTAAAAGCAGTGTCCAGGCTGAATTTAACCCCCTCCGATCAGTGCCGATTCTGAATGACGGCCCCACGAGAGGGGCATTTGCGTGGTCCGGTCCTCTAGTGTTGTCTTTGAATGGAGATAAAGGGCCTGGAACGGCCGAAGTGCTTCCAAGCCCCGCGTAAATCCTATCAGGCTCCGCCCCCATGTACTGAAAGCTGTCCGCGTCCTCAAGGCAGGCCGATGCGAGACTTCTGACAATATTTAGAAGATCCTATCAAAAATTCAGGTTCCCGAAATATTGTTTTCAAAAAACAGGCAAAAGACAGTTTTTGCTCGAAAAAGCCAGTGTTCTTATTGGCGTTCTAATCAACACTCAAGGTATATCGTAGACTTCACCCTCATTCAAGAGAGCTGAACAAACTCAAATTTGTCTAAGCATGCTAGTGTGCAATGACGTACGTAGCGCCGAATTTTGGTCTAACCTCTTGTTGCTACCTAAGCTGCAGTGAACTGGTTGATCTTTGCAATCCAAAAAGCATCTCAATTCTACAAATATTTACCTATGGTATTTAGAATGGCAAAGCTGTCGATATAGAAGAGGTTGATTTTGATCACGCTCACGGAAAGGTTAGCTTTCATCTGCGAGATAGTCTACCGGTGGGACGGGAAGTCATGCTAAAGGTTTGCATTCGATATAATATTCTAGCAGCATAGTATCTGCTTCTGCAGCAAATACTTAACAATTAACATTCATAGCCAAATTGTAGACTCAAAACAGACCACAGTATTTTGGTGATGTTCCAGACAGCGTAAAAACTACTACACCTGTTTGAGATCTAAAGAATCGAGTGTCTAGTTCGTGTACACTCAGCGTCGTTATCACGAATAGCTTTTTCAGCATGATCCCAATTCTGACACCAGCAATTTTAAGAAATGTATGAGCTCAGCCGGTGTCTTGCAAGAATAAAATTTGAGAGGGCCTCTGGGCAAGAAATACGGAGAGAGTCGCCCTTGTTCATCCAAAAGAATGGACCTTAGCTGGGAAGTGCTTAAAAAGTGTAAAAAATAGTCACGAATAAGCAATTCAGGCGTACTTATTCACTCTCCAATGCTGTTGGTTGTTATAGCAGTCATTGATATAAAAAAGTGCTACAAAGTAGAGTTGAAAAAACTTTTATTTGGATTCCAAAAATTCAAAAGCCCTTTTTAACGGGAAGACACACGAAGATGAGAATTTATAAGCTTTCTATGTCTTCCTATGTTTTCCGCCGTCGCTCCTATCTTTCAAGCACGGTGCAGCAAAAGGCCAGATAGAAGTCACTGCAAGTCATGCTACTTTTTTACTTATTTGGACACCCTGATGGTCTGTCATCACATGGCGCGGAGCCGAGCATAAAAGCTTCCATATGTCTCTGTCCCTCGCTTCAGATATCATGATCTTCTTATTTGTCAACGGTAGCTGCAATTAAGAGCGCCAGGTGGAAAGATTGTGTCTGTGTTAATGTCTCAGTTTTTCTATCCATTCTTAGAACACTCCTACCCACCTCGTTTTTGGTCTTCCTCAAATAGGTTTTGCTAGGAATTTGCTTTAGTGCTCTTAGCGCCTATGTGGCGTCTATCCTGCCATCAATGCTTCGTTTGCTTCGCTTTCGTCCATTGAGTTATGAAGACGGAACATTTTTTTCATGTCCCTGGAAAGTCCAACGAAATGTCGCTTGTGTCAAACCATCTCCCAAGACTGCTCTCGAGCGCTCTATAAATGGGCCATAGAGTTTTCGACATTGTTTCAGTGTTGGCCCAAGTCTCAACTGCGTAACGAAGGGCCGAAAGAGCGGTTGAGCCGAACACGCCGTGGAGGCCTTTTTTGAAGACCGGCGGCCTAGGCCGTTCTTCTTCTCCTGTTAAGTCAAGTTCGTTCTTCAAGCTCACCAATCGTCAAAACTTCACGCGAGAAGCCTCCCTAACGTGGGTGCCTTTCGAGTTCATTTCCGCATTGCGAAGGGCATAAATTGTTTTCCCTTCTATTTGTTCGCGGTCGGTATGCTCTTCACGTCTCTCCTAGTTACTTCATTGTCCACTGCAAGGCCGCAGTAAACAGCTTCGGCAAAATTGTGTCGCCTTTCGAACCCCATTCACAGTTGAGATGGAGTAAGGAGATGGAACAGCTTCCCGTTATTGTACGGTCTTGACGGATGAACATAGTGTCGACGCGGTTAAAGACTTTTTCATAGTTGTAGGACGAGCAAGCGGTACTGAGAAACTTTCTTGACCCTCGAATTTGTGGATGCGCGTCGTTTCTTCACGAATGGCTGCGTAAGCTCTGTGAAGTTAAAATCTCAAAGTTTCTACATTGTCTGATTAAGCTCATGATTTAGTGAGTGTGTAACTCACCTCGGAATTTGGAATATCATTCTCTCGGACTCATAGGTGCGATAGGGGGAGCCGGGCTCTCCCCAGGTGAAGGGGGTCCCGGCTGTTCCCGACCTTCCAGGTGAAGGGGGTATGTGAGTCTGGGGGGGGGGGGAGGAAGATAGAAAAGATAAAAAAGCGTGGTATGAAGAGCTCTAATTTGTACCTTATTTAGGCACAAATTGAAAAAATTTAAAAATTTTCAAAAGAAATTAAAAAATTTTAAAAAATTGATTATGAAGATCTGTGATCCTGTTTCACTGCATCAACAAAAAACGAAAGCAATAAGGTTTATCCCAAAAGATGTACAAGTTAGGAACAACTTCATTTCCTGCACATCATCATCAACAACATCACTATCGCTAACGTCAGAGACAACAAGTTCGCTGCCTGAAAAATCTTCTTCTTCCTCCGAAAGGTCATCGGAGTAGAAGTAGAATTGCGTGCTAAAGCGTTCTGAGTCGAAATTGGATTTGAAACTTTCTTCTTCTTCTAAGCGCTTTTGTGATTTTTTCCTGGCCCTCTGGTAGCACCAGGAAGTCAGCAGGTAGGTGACAGTTTCTTCATACCATTTTTTAGGATATTTTAAAAAGTCGTACGGTAACAGCCTGTCTGGACCACTTATACCAATCCTTTAAATGAAGTTTTTAGATAACAATGTGTTTAGTAGAAGGTTGACAAATCTTAAGTATTTGCTTAGATGCTCTATCGTTGTACGACTTCTGCGTTGTGTTCTGATAACAGAGTAGATAGAAAATTTCTTTCTCCACCTCTGCCGTGCTAGTCGGAATGGAAATTAGCTTTGCTATGTAGTAAGTCCATCAGATTTTTCCGGTAAGTAATGAGAAAAGAGCCAGATCGCATATGCTTTCGCAACACGGGAAGGAAATATTGCATACTTTTTTGAGCCTTGTCAAACTCTGGCTTCACCTCCTCTGGCATACGTCCTGTTAGCTGATGAAAAAGGTGCTCAACTTTTTCTTTAACAGCATCTGCGGAATAGCCGAAAAAAAAGTAGATAGTATGCTGCGCGCTGGTTTATTTCTTCAATATCATAGGTCATAATGTCACAAGGCGAATAACTTCCAAAAGCATAAAGCACAGAGTTGGGTTCGCACTCCAGCCGGGATCTAAGTGCAGTAAGTATGCTTTGTGCTAACCTTCCTTTTGTTCATATCCATGTTTGTGAATCTAGCAGCCTTGAATTCTTCAGCAACCTGAAGATCAGCAATGGACTTCCTGGACATCTCCTCATTGAAACTAGACAATCTGCTTGGATTCCTTATGCAGGAAATCAGAGAGTTTCGCTCAATTGCCAACTCTGTATCAATGTCGACAACATTTTCGTCGGCGTAAGATTCTCCTTCTGCCTCGCTGTTGAACTGGAACACATGCGAGTTATCTGCGATTTTGTATAGTATTCTGCCTGCCGTTTCCTCTTCAAACTGCCAACCTTTCCAAAACATTGAGGGATATTTTAATAACACGTTATTCTTCTGAATGTCTTAGAGTTTTTGTCTTATTGAAACCAACCATTCTCTACAATTAGGTGAGTCTAGAGGGTTTTCACAAAAGTTATCTTCTTCAGCACTAGGTTTACAGAGTATGGATTCCAGAAGTGGGCGGGTTTTTGTGTGAAGGTGTGGAAATTCACCAATCTCCCATAGTTTTTTGAGTGTGTGCTAATAATGATGGCATAACTGTCAATCAAAAGCGCATTTTTTACCAAAAAACATAAACATATAACAACTATAAGCACGCTCAAATAGACGCGTTCGCTCACGTTCCCGTTAGTGCTGATAACGATGTCAATCCACATCACATTTTTTACTATTAACTTGCTCCGCCTCGCTCTTATTAGGTCGTCCAGAAAGTTTTTGGGCATGAATTTCAAAATTCATAACTTCTGATTTTTCCAACCGATTTGACTGCTTTCACTTTTATGTGAAAGGTAAGTCATGCTTTTTATAATGACATCTCAGCTGCTTAGTAATGGTCATCTGTTGCATAGATAGAAGCGATAGAAGAAAAATGGTAAAAATTTTAATTTTCTGCGTAAGGTCATAAAAAATCGGAGACTTGCAACAAAAATCGGAGCAGTCAGTACTGTAGGTTTTTTCACCAGCTCTTTCTAACAGTGCAAAGTTTGCGCAGATTGAGCGTCTCCATAAAAAGTTATGACTTTCCTAAAAAATGCCAAAATAAATTAAATTCGCCTTTTTGTATTGCTTGCTCGGAAATCATAACTTTTCATGGAGACGCTCAATCGGAGCAAACTTTGCACTGTTAGAAAGAGCTGGTGAAAGAACCTACAATACCGACTGCTCCGATTTTTTTTGCAAGTTTCTGATTTTTTATGCTACACAAAAATTCAAATTTTGAGTGATTTTGGTTTTGAGCTTCTATCTATGCAACAGATGACCATTACTAAGCAGCTGAGATGTCATCATAAAAAGCATGACTTACCCTTTCACATAAAAGTGAAAACAGTCAAATCGGTTGGAAAAATCAAAAGTTATGAATTTTTGAAAATCGTGCGCAAAAACTTTCGGGACGACCTATACGATGTGTTGGCTTTCATGGGTCACCGAAGCAAAGGTTTTTTAGAGCCGGGAAGCAAAGAAGCTTTCGAATGGTTTATGCATAGATTGCTGGGCGAAAAAACTTACCAGTTTTTAAAAATGGAGTGGAGATATTTACTGTTAGCTTGCTCCACCCAGTTCCCTCGATGTATTGGCTTTTATGGGTCACCGCAACAAGCATTTTTTTGAAGCCGGGAAGCTCGATGCGTCAACAAGCTACATACCATTCGAAAGCTGAGATCATGGAGAATCGACGTAGACCGTCGCCTTTTTTCCAGGTCTTCTGTGACGCGAGATATGAGGGATTGTATGTGCTTCAAAAATTAGCTGATTTTGTGCCCTCACTTTCTGCTCTCTAAATGAATGCTACGAGAAAGTCGACGGTCTACGTTTGTTAATGAAGACTTGCTCTATCACACAGATAGATAACCAGCAGTGATTAGGTCTTCGCTTGGCAGAAATCTGCTGTTAATGGACCTTTTTTCGGATAAAATCCGGTATATCTCTCGGGAGGGGGACTAGAAAGAAAGTAATGGTCTAGGTCGAATCCTCTTAATATAAATCCTCTTAATGCTCGAATCGTCTTAATATAAATTTATGAGTGTACTTGCTGTTTGAAGTAGTCAGCCTGCAAAACCTTTTAGTAACGATTTTTATTTTATATTCTCAGAGTACAATACCAATCTCAGCCCAGGTGAAGGGGGTCATCGGGAGTTTGGCCTCAAAGTGAAGGGGGTAAGATCCATCACTCCCCCTATCGCAACTATGCTCGGACTTCTAAAAATGAGCCAGAACTGCGAAACCATTGTCATTGCATTGCAAAAGCTTTGCTAGTTCGCTGGTTTTCGAAGATTTTTCACAGTAAAATGACAATTCTCTCAGCCATAGATAGACAAAGTGAAAATTATGTCAAACACTGCGACCATTATTTCAGCTTTTGTACAAGGGCTCACAGGAAAACGCAACCGCAAAGTGGAAGGAGACGTTAGAGGATATGCCTGCCCAAATAAAAAACTCTGACAAAATCATAATTGTTTACTCTAAAAATGAGTTTGCTGCTTTCTTCGCAAATTTGAAAGTAATTACACCAAAGTAATTGCTTCTCCAACCTTCACCAAAACAGTGATTACATTATTCGAAAGTTTCACAGATTCCTGGGAATTTGAGTGAAAGCAGCGCGTAAAAATCCGTCACACAAGTTTGCAGGTTTTTAATAAGCTTTTTTTTTCAAATGGCAGCTAATTCACCGCGGGCAGCCCGTGCGAAAAATTCATACTGTAGTCATGCAGTGAAAACGTTCGCGATTTGCTCCAAAACCTAAACTGAAAAACTCTGTATGGTACTTGGATGTTGACAGTAGACTTTGTGGAAAGATATACGTTCACGTTAAACAGTGCACACATACTTTTCGGACTCTCTGAAAAGTTATATATCGGCGTTTTCAGACATGTTAACTCATTAAACAGTTTTTACGAGGTTTTAAGCGTCCGAAACGGTTCCATTGCACTTTGGAAAATACTGGAAAAAGTTGCTGTTTTCACCTGAAGTAAATGATGAAATGATAAAGTTTTCAGCATGCTGAGTTTCTTGAACCTTCCTTAAAGTTCCGCCGTAGTCATACAGTAGAGAAGAGCGATAAACGATCTACTCCATATCCTAAATCTATACTGATTTTGCTCTACTGAACGATTCTCGAAGCTAGGCAAGAGGCTTTTTGGGGGGCAGTTTATCAACGATTGAAAAACACACCTTCTTGACTAGTACTTACTTTTGAGACGCCCTTTATCAGCTGTCTACAATTCCGTCGCGCAAATTTGAATCCATAGGCACATAGCTTCCGTTACCTGGTGCAAACATGCTAAGTTTCCTTGCACAAACTGCGTTTACAAAAAATATGCGCGAATACAGCATCCAAGTTGCGCTGCGACTGTGACCGATGACATGAGCTACTTTTCGCGGCAGTTTGCTGGGGCCACTTACCGATTTGTTGTGCAGTTTTGAGGAAAATGAAAGCTTATCGATCATCATCAATCTCTCAACTCTGTTTTTGGGCCCTATGAAAAATTGATATAACTAAAGGTTCGGAATCGCTGTTTCCTTAAGTTTGCTTTTGACCCTCTGGTGACGTAGTACGGTTAGACATGATGTCGAATGATGCTGCTAGATATCTGAACGAATAACCCTTTGAAGTTTTTGACATATTCAGGTTTATAAAAGCGAACCGAAGCTTTAGCTCAAATGAAATGTTAAGCGATCTTAGCGGCGGGATTTGGTAAAGACAAATCCTGCAGAAAGGCTGAGGTAAGGATTCGGAGCAGGAGCCGAAGAAAAAAGAAACGGAGATCTGCGGGAGTAAAGTAGAACAGAAAAAAGGAAGCAAGAATAAGTCTTCGCAGGCTTCAGCCCATATTGTGTACTGTCGACTCCCTAACTGTGGCGAGGAGGATCCGTGATGGCCAACAGAGATCAGTAGATTAGGTATGCCTCAGCACAGGGCAATGCAACGCTAGAGCCGCTAGCGCATCTCCGCCTCGCCAAAGTTGGGGATCCGCTCATACCCTTTACCAGATCGTTAACCAAAATCGGCGATGCTGGAAAATTCGGCTAGTAGATAAAAAGCTATACATTATTCGCTAATGCGATACAACGCAGTAAAAACACAACGGATAATCACATAGGAGTAGCATCGACTGCAGAACCAGATTTGAGTTGGGCAGCATATTCTTAAGCCTTCAATATTAAAACAAAAAAATGTGACTGTACTGCAGATCCCGTACTCTGCGCCAATCAACAAAGGAACCAATGGACTTTACCAAAATCTCTACCAGGACCGCAACAAAAAAACAAAGTAAGAAAGATATCTAATTTTTCGATCACATTACAGGGAATAGTACGGAAGGCGACATACCAATTTCGTACCTCACAAACACTCTTCCGCTTTTGTGGCAGAAACGATGCGAAGGGGGGGGGGGGTTGCAGGCTGCGACCACGTGCCATAAGTGACATAGCGACATTGAGCAGGAGTTGGAGAAGAGGAGATACGTTGCACACTTTTTGCACCTATGTCGCCTTCGAAATGCTTCCCCCCCCCTAATTTCATGTTTCTATCAAAACGCCAGCTGGCAGCAAACAGAGTCAAACAAAACATTTTGACTACAAGTTGTTGTGACTGCGATACCCTGATATACAATGGAAATTATAAAAAGCAAAGAATTACTGAGTTCCAAAGGGTTTTTGTTTTCCCTCAAGTACAACCGCGTTGACTGTCAAGAGAAGGTTTTGCACTCTCCGCGGATTTTAGGACAATCAAAACCAAGCAATAAGCGTTATACCATAGCTTTGTAATTTAGGATAGCAGCTGTAACACAAATGGAGCCGACAAGTGCTCGAAAGATGGTTCCTTGTTTTGATGAGCCAGAGTATAAGGCAATTTGGAAAGTAAAGATAATACATCCTAAAGGAACCACAGCGATCTCAAATGCGAGGATATTAGATGTAAAAACGTGAGTGATAACTGCATTCGGACTGATTTTGATCAAAACATATTTGTCACTCATCAGGAGAACGAGTAACCAATAATACGGATTTAGGTAACATAGTGAGCGACTTCAAATGTAATTCTACTTATAAGGGAAACTGCGGCAATAACGCATTCCTTGCACGATTATGGATCTAATTTCTAATATATCCAGTCTTGAATTGGCACAGTGTGGCAAGCACCAAAATAGGTACAGAACGCAGCCAGGAATAATCCTATATCTTGAATAGGATATATCATTAGATAGCGCAGACCTAGCCCTACAAGATAGTGCTCAAATATCTACACCAGATTTGCTCCTTGCGAAGTTTTGAGCCGAACTAAAAAAAATCATGCGTCCAAAAACCCTAAGACCAATCAAAACAAAATTGCATCTTCGCTCAAAAAATCCTACAAAATTTCTTTCTTGCTCACACGTAGACACTTTATGTAAGACATTTATCTATGCGGTTGCTGGATTTTTCTCTCAGCAATACGATAGCCAATAGTAAACCCCCATCACTGCACTCGACTGATATCGGCCTACGTTAAACGTAGGACGGCTCAGTCCAGCATCCAGTGAGCTATTGATCTGGATGCGGATCTCTTTCTAAATATGATAATCATGTTCGCTTTTTGAAAAAAGGAACCACTTGAGCTGGTTTGGTTTGAGCAGGTAAGCTATTGGAATTGAACGCGCGCGGCCATGGCTCGACACCGGCAGGCATCACATTTTGCTGTATCGTAGGTCGTCTTTGATAGCGATCACTATCGGAAAATCGTGATGACTGCTATCAAGGATTTTGCTTAGAAAATGCATGGATGAAACAAAAACGCATTTTTTGACGAAAATCTCATGGAAAATTAAAACAACTGCAACATGAGCTCAATGAAATAAATCTACAAATTCTTGCTTTAAGCAGCTTATCAAAGAAAAAAATCAGCAAACTTTACGAAAAAAAAGTTTCCTTGCTTTCCTCGCCAAAATCAGCTGCTCATCAATCTTCTCCTTTCCGGGCCAAGGTATTGTGTAGTTTTGCGCCGATTTTGTCTGCCTTTTTTGGCAAACTGATGCGTATCGTAGCTTACTCAGGAGCAACCTACAGGAGGCTTGTCTGTGTCTCCTTTTTTGCACACTATTTGCATTACTCTAACATCAGTCCACGTTCAGTTATTGTGAACTGATATGCAAGAGTTGACTGCAGCAGGTGGATGGATGGTCAACTATCAGTTCACTCGCCATGCTTATACATGGGAAAGGTGGGCGGTCATCAGTTCACCTCACCTAAGTCAAATGATGGATTGAGTTCAGTTCACCTGAACTGATCGAGCTTTACAGCTTGTACTACGGACCGATGAGAAAACGAAGTTTTTCATGGTTTTGCCAAATTAGTGCTGAGATATTTTAGCGCTAACAGTTGTATAGTACATGCAGTTAGCAATGAAACTTTACATTTTCAGCCTTCTTGAACACCTAGCTTACGAGAAATGACGAACCGAGCTCTCCTCATCCGAATTCTTCTCGCCTAGTTGCCAAAAACTCGATAAGTCTCGTAAACCAGCTGCTGTAAAAGGCTGAGAATTCTCGCTTCTAAGGTCCTATAGTATAGAAGTGCCAGTGCTAGAACATCTCAGCATTATTTTAGAAAAACCTGAAAAACTTCATTTTCCCAGTTTCTCGCTGAGAGAAAAATACAGCAACTGCATAGAGAAATGTCTTATACGAAATGACAATGCATGAGCAAGTTAAGAATTTGGAAGAATTTTTCTAAACGAAATTCCAATTTTTTTTTGATTAAGCTGCCGCAAAACCTTAAGCACTATCTTATAGATCTAGATTTGGTCTATTAAACAATATACCGAATCCCATTTGGGATATAGGATCATTCCGGATTATGCGGTCTGTACCTATTTTGGTGCAGGAACTATGCGTCAACCTAATATATTACTAGATGCGGCCTTTGAACGCTGATTCCAAATTTGCCCTTCTTTTGCTTTTTAGCGGATCGAGTCTCCAAAAGAAATCGTCTGAGAGTGTCAATAAATGGCATGCAATTATCGAAAAGCTGTACAAAAACTGTACAAAAAAGAGGGTGGATCAATTTTGTGGCAGTAGACTGAAACAAGGAAGAAATACAGCCGGTAGAAATCCGTATAGGTGTTTTTGAACGAATTTTTGCTGATTCTATGCCACTGAAAGTCAGCGTCCCGGCCAAATGGTGGGTACCCGGATATTACAGTATTGCAATGGCAGATCCCCAACTAATTTATCGGTGAAGATCAAAGTTTAAAGCGAATAAGCGCGTCTGAAAGCCCAAAATCCGTTTCGGAAGACTTCTGGACCCCGCTCACTTACACGTATATTGTAGCTACCGCGGACACGGAGGGTTTCGAAAAAAGCTCATTTGTGTCGTTTTCAAGCGCTGGAATGTCCAGAACGGCTTCAGCATGACGAAAGTCTCAGAAAAGTGAGAACCGGAGAGTAAATCTTGCCGAGACAATGTCTTCAAAGGCTGCATCCACCCAGAGTCCATGCAGCCAAGTTTATTAATGATGAATAAGCCCTAGAAGTAGACCAACTGCGGTGGTCTACTCCCTTATTGTTGCTTCCCAAGAAAAGAAATTTGACCTGAAACTTCTTGCGCTCCATTCATCATCCAGACGGCCCTGTCACACGTTCTTACATGGCAATCAACTTCGAAACGCCTGCTACTATGTGAGGTGGCACTATTGCATGCGACGAGGTTTCCTGTTGCATACGACGTGAGTTGCGCTGGAGCACTTGTCTATTTCTGCCAAACTAGGGCTTCAGAAAAGACAATTTTAGGGCTTTCCAGAATTTGGGATTGTACATCATATCCAAATTCGGTTACGGAAGTGCCCGATAACAATAGTAAAGTGGAAGTCACTGGTCGTAGAAGGTCATGTGGAGGTGCTTAAAACTACGTTCATAATGTTTTGATGGTCGGCATATGGGGTACGTGCGTCACCTCTGCTTTGCAGAGAATAGCATCGCTTCACTATCCATATGCCTTCCATGCTCTTCCTAAGAAAATCTGCTTTGCACTGAACGGTTAATGCCGACCACATAAATGAACTATTTTTTTTTCAAAAGAGTTGCCATGTTGAGGCGGTAATCAAATGGTAAACTTTCAGCAAAAAATAAAACCAGTCTCAGTTGTTTTTCTTAAAAGCAACACAATTTGTTGGGTAACAAGTTAGTGATTTATGTAACTATCTGTTTGAACCCATTTTTGCATTTCAACCACTTTTCTTCCTGTTGATATGCTCGCATTTTGTCACGGCAAAGCATTAGTGTCGTCAAATTCACTATAAGCCAAAGATTTTCAAGAGTGCTGCGCCAGCGTACCTCGCAGCTCGTGAGTTCTAGGCCCGTGCTTAGCTCCCTGCAGGGGGATGGAAGACAGAGAGAAAAGAGTGAAAGAACATTTGTGGCGATTTCTGTTGTAGGGACGTCGCTTCCAATCTCATGCGTAAGAGACCCAGTTGCCGCGCATACGAAGTTTTGCTTTCCTCATTTACCTAGTTATCAATGATCGAACCGGACGATGTCAAATATCATCAAACAAAACAGCTTATTTCAAGTGCTCCAGCATAGGAATTCGGTGGCTTGAACGAAAGAAAGTTTTTTGTTGAAAGGTAAATGACTTTTCTAGGATGATTAAGGACTGCTTGCCGTAAAAACAATGACTAATGCAAAATTTTTGAGCGATAATTTTTGTTCGTTATGTAGAAACTTTGGTAATCGAGGGTTTACACTCTACTTTCTGGCGCCGTTCCCGCGCGCACATATACTCTAGAATTTTTTTTGCAGGGAAGCCCTCGGCTGGCAGAAGTGCATGTAACAAAAGTCAGTAATTTCGAAAGTAAAGAAACATGCCCATTTCCACGGGCCAGTGGATTACGTCTATTGAATCCGCTCGTGCTTTCGCACAATGGACTTCCATGCTGACAGCGCCGCTACACAAAATTTGAGCTTAGGATATTGGCTTGCCGCTTTGGCTCTGCTCTCCCGATTTGGTAACATGCTCTCCCGATTTGGTAACATAAGGAGAGACAGTGCCCTTCTTCTGACCTAAATGATATCCACGAAAGTCCCCTCGAAATGGGCTTTTTTGCGAATAAAATGGACTTAGTCCTTGCAGTTCGATAGGATATCGCATTCGCGAATCCATTCATTCCATACATAAATGCTTCAGCAAACCTTCCTCTAACTTGTCTCAACCTGTCTCACTCTTGCAAACTCATTCCTACCAAGTGGTTAATATCTAACTCTGACTACAATCAGGTCTGATCTATCTTTACAATCAGTCACGTGGATATTCTCTTTTTTTCCATTTTTTAGAATTAAAGCTATAAAATCTGTAACAGTTCTTACATCACGGGCTATACATTACTGTAGTAGTCAATATCTCAAAGAAGCACATAATTAAAAAGTTGTGAAAAACTTCGTTATACAGGACAGATTCTCTTGTCACCGCATTTTCTTCATATGAACACAGGCCCAAACTTATGCAATCCAGACCAACCCGGACCTAGACTGCATAAAACAGTGGGAGATTTGGAGTATCAAAGAGTGTTTTTGGTGACAAAATACCGCGTTGAGGAGGTTTTTCCTACGAAATGGTTGTAAATTTTTTATATTTCCGTACGAGATTAAGGCCTGATTAATGTATTAGGTTGTCGGATAATTTCTATTACACTTATTATTTTATTTCTTAAAAATCTTAGGAGCTTTGGAAAGATCTCATGTTCACGGCGTACTGGCAAGGTCAAAAGGCCTATACAGGGTACCGTCGTATCCGCGATACGTACGCAAAACACACACTTTGCGGCTGAAAATCCGTTTCTTTCCATTTTTGTAAATGAACTGGCGTTCTCTCAGGTAATAAGCGATAGACCGGACATTGTGGTAATCAAGGAGGGCATAGTCTGTAGCGTTTAGACAATATGGAGGGATAACGCAGACATGTCTGCACACGTTTTTCTGAGCGGTTCAAGCACGGCCCGGCACAGATGGTTCGGGGTTAAACTGGACTTCGTTTTTGAGGTCAGAAGCAACGGGGATATCGTTTTCATAAGGTCCTGGGCGAAGCACCGAAAAAAAAACTACAAACATGTCAGGTTTTAAAAGTTGAACGTGTTCTTTGGGAAGCGCGCGAATTTTAAACGTCAGACAAACAAACGGATGGCTTGTATACAGCGCACAAACAATGACATGACGCCGAATTTAGGCTATATAAATAATATTACTCCAAACAACATTATGTAAAAGGCTCCAAAAACTTATGTGTCCTAATACCCGTTTCCGAATTTGTTGGTTTCTAAACCAACACTTAACCAACAGGGTTGGTTCGGAGCATAAATATCCGAAAGTTCACATAAGTTTTGGGCGAAGAAAACGCACCAAAATCTATTGTGTAGCGAAGAGAGAGAATCAAATCACTGTTTCTCCTCTTTTTTTGAGCCAAAAATAGTTTAAACTAAAGCATCATGACTTATGATAACGGGCTAAGGATGTTTACGTGTTTTTGTGTGTCTGTCTAACTGTCTGTCCACGAAATTCGGGGAGCGTGGCCAAAAAGGATTAGTTGCGTGAAAGTTCAATTTGTCAAGATTTTACCTGATCATTTGAAAAGATGTCTGCACAGAGATGTAGCCCACGGTATCGATTGTCCTTATGGCTGCTAACGAGCCATGAAAAGACCAAAAACTAAATGGAATTTGCATTCATTCTTTTGGGAAAAGTTCCACCCACACGAAAATACCGATCTCACACGAAAAATCTCTAGGAATGAGCAGTTGTTTACGAATCATTCGTGATAGCCTGCATAGCGCGGTGAGTTTCAATGCCGTTTCTGCGAAAATAAGTAAGGCTTGGTGGTGAGGTATGATGGTGGGTCCAATGCGAACCTCTGCGAAGCAGAAGTGACGCACTGGTTGATAGATATCGCGCTCCAACCACATGCGATGTCCTCTAAACTATGTGGCGAAAAATGCATTGCCAGATTGTTGAGGTCATAGATTTGGTTGGCACATGAGGTTTTCAACTTTCTGAACATTAAAATGGTACCATACTCAAGAATTGAATCGACTAGAATGTTTTTTTTTGCCTTTTTGTTCTTTATGTACCCCAAACTCTTTTTTTGTCGCTTTTTATTGTTATGTTTTGTTGTGTTGATTAAACAAGGGTTTCCCTACTGACTTTTATGTCAAAAGAGACTTTGTAAATTTCGCGAATTTAAAGGGGACTTCGTTTTCAAAAATGCACCAAACCAAGGGTGCGGGACCCTGGGTTCAAGTCTCAATGTGCGCGATCTTTGCAGTCATCGGAAATTTCAGAAGAAAACTCCAAAAAAATTTTTCTCCAAAAAATTTCAAAAAATCATTTTTATGTTTTCTGTATTCATTTCTATATGATGCACGTAAAAAGGAGAGTTTAGGAAAGTATTAGGTTAAACCGAAAGTTCTTTCCCCCCATTTTCAAAAATTCATAACTTGTTGAGTTTTCAACGAATCTGCAAGATTTAAATTTTGTCTAAGAAAGGAACTCATGCTCTTTGCAACTGTACTTGAACTGTTCGTTAATGTGTACAAATGAAGAAGATAGAAGCTCAAAGCCAAAATCACTCAAAATTTGAATTTTTCGTGTAGGGTCCTAAAAAATCGGAAACTTGCAACAAAAATCTGAGCAGTCGGTATTTTAGGTTCTTTCACAAGCTCTTTCCAACAGATCAAAGTTTGCGCCGATTGAACGTCTCTATGAAAAGTTATGAGTTCCCTGAAAAATGCCAAAATAAATCAAATTTGCCCTTTTGCATTGCTTGCTCGAAAATCATAACTTTTCACAGAGACGTTCAATCGGCGCAAACTTTGCACTGTTGAAAAAAGCTTGTAAAAGAACCTACAATACTGACTGCTCCGAATTTTGTTGCAAGTTTCCGATTTTTTAGGACCCTACACGAAAAATTCAAATTTTGAGTGAATTTGGTTTTGAGCTTCTATCTCCTTCATTTGTACACATTAACGAGCATTTCAAGAACATTTGCAAAGAGCATGAGTTCCTCTCTTATACAAAATTTAGATCTTGCAGATTCGTTAAGATTTCAACAAGTTATGAATTTTTGAAAATGGGGGGAAAGAACTTTCGGTTCAACCTAATATTTTAATTTTTTTGATTTTTTTTCACCCCTCGTTTTTGAAACGCTAGAGGCACCAGAATGCCTCTATGTGAGAGACTATGCCAAAGTACGTTCTAAAAAATTTTGGAAGAGGAAAAGCGCAAGTAGGTGCAGAGAAAAGGACCAGACAAGAACTGAAAAATTTGATTGCTTTTACAAAACTGCCGTATACTTGTTGGCCATTAGTGCACTTACGGCATCAATCATCAATCGGCATCTGGTGGGTAGATCCTGCTATGTCCTAAACGTGTTGCAAATTTGGGGTTTTAACGCTTCTGGAATTTTCTAGAAATTCCAGAAGAGAGTGTAACAGAAATTATCCGACAACCTCACATAAATTATTGCTAGTAAGATATTTTTCAGAGTTTTTTTTGGTTTGCTAGCGACACTCCAGCTTTTTTTGCGAGCAAGCTGAAAATAATCTTGAAGGTCGAAATGCATCTTTGGGGGTCTGTTCGACGATGTTAGTAAGAAGGTAGCCAGAGTAAATTTCTTAAACGCAAATCTTTTTTATTTTAAAATACAAAGTATGTTTAGTTTTTATTGATGGTTTAAAGAGTTAACAAACTTTATTTGACCTACATAGGAATTTTTGCATTGGCCTGATACTTGAAAGCATTTGAGTTTGTTAGCAAATATCTTGGTAAATTTAACCTTCTTTCATGATTTTTATAGCGTTCGTAGAAGTTCGGAAAAAACACTTATTTCAGACTTCATAAAAAACATGAAACTTTTTCCACCCACTTTTACCATAAAATAGGCTAAGAAAGACATTTTCAAAAAAGTGCAATCAAAAATGTGCAAAAAGGTCAAAGATGGGCTTAGTCCCAGCTCACCTTGCTGCTGGGAGTCACATGAGTTTTCAAGTCCATTTGAAATGGAGGTTAATCTCATTTCGCTTCATTCCAAATGGACTTTTCGCGTGATTCTTTTGCAAATGAAAGCTCACTTAAAGGCAGTGTCCAGGCTAAACCTAACCCCCTCCGACTAGTGTCGATCCTGAATGTAGGCCCCAGAAAAGGGACATCTGCGTTGGTCCGGTTTTCTAACGTTGTCTCTGAATGAAGATAAGGGGCCTGAAAGTCCCTGGCTGGGCGGAGTCTGATATCAGACTCCGCCCACCAGGGACTGCTCACTACCTTGTCAATACGTGCCTCACGACACGTATTGACAAGGTAGTGAGCAGAAGCTGCACACTGCACACTGCAATGCAACTGCACCCATGCAGTTGCAGCTCCTTCCCGCTGGCCTGCTGATGGGGACGAGCAATTCGAAACTCGTCCGCGCCCTCAAAATTGGGTCCCCGAGAATCGGGTTTTTTGTGAATTTTAGAGAGTTTGAAGTTCGGAATTGTAATCAGGGCCACAAAAAGGCCCCAGAATGACGAAAACATGGGTGGCCAAATTCTGGGTGGACGCTGCCTTTAAGGTTGAATCACTTTTATTATACCGCTTTGCCTCGGGGTTGCGATAGGATAGAACATTATGGATAACGCGGGGGAAAGCAGATTCAAACCAATTTCCACCACAAACGAATAAAATGTGGTTTAAAAGTCCATTTTCCTCTATTATGGACTTTCGTGGATATCATTCCTCATGTTCATTTTACGTAACAGACATATTTAGATGAATATTTGGCGGACGCGCATTTCGAGGCTTTCTGCTTGTTAACACTTATTGCAACTCGTAACTAATTTAAATTTTAGTAAACAAAGCGGAAAATGGACAATATCTACGTTTGAGCCGACTCCTATTATGTCGTCGTATCTTCTCGCTCTTTTAGTGTCTGAATTTACATATAACGAGATGCAAACAAACAGAGGAGTAAAAGTGAGCTGTTGCATAAGCTTGAAGACTGCTCAATTCAACCATAATTGTCATTTTTTACTAGTTCCGTTTGTGGTCAGCTCCTGGTAGAGAATCGCGAAGAGAGTACGGACTCAAAGTAGCTACTACTGTCATGGAGTTCTTAGAAAAGTACTTTGGAGTGAATGATGTCATGTCAAAGCAAGGTAGGGCAAGCCTTATAAGACGACATTAACTACATATAGAAAGGTGTTTTTGTAGTACTGAAGTTAAGAAATAATTATAGAAGAGTGATCTTGTAGTACTGAAATTAAGAAACTTGAGTCAAATTGCTATAATTTAGTTTTATCTCGGTTGGGCATTTGTCCAGATTGTTTGCCACTTGCCAAACAATACATTTTATATTTGTTCCATGAAATGTGCATGTTTGGCAAGAAATTTGAAAACATTCGCTCAGAGTTTTCTGCATCTTATGGCAGCTAATGATATGGGTCCATTTTATAAAGTGCACAAATAAGTAAAACAAGTTTGCAACGAGTCATTTCTTTGCTCAAGTTTTTTTTGTGTAATAGTTTACCGATTTTTCAAAAATCACTCTTTTGGGAAGCGCTTAATTTTCGGGCAACGTCAGGTAAGAATGATCTTCCCACAAGGGAAAAAGTTGCAATCTCAACTTTTTTGTAGTAGATTATAAACGGACATCACTGGACAAGTTATATGCTCATATGCTATCATTCCTTCAGCTCTTCTTCGCATTATGAACTTTGCTTTGCAGATCTAGTCGCATTGGAAAACTTTGACGCAGGCGCAATGGAAAATTGGGGATTGATTACTTTCAGGTTGGCGCAAATTGAGGTAAAACTCCAATAAACTTCTTCTTTTTTCTTGACTATCCTTCAGAAAATCCCACTTGCTAGAGCCATGGCAAAGGTCCCATCAGGATTTACCGCCAGAATACAATGTATCGCAACGGGACTTCATAATAATGCTGAATCGAAGGCGAAGAAAAATCGAGACTACTGTCGCACATGAACTTGCACACCAGGTTTTGCGAACTTCTACTTAAGCGTCTACAGAACTGCCGAACTGTCCATGTAGCGTGAAATTATCAATATCGTTTCTTATAAAAGCTGTAAACCTTCTTAACAGCGGCGATACACGTTTATGTGATGAGTTCAAAGAAAGACGCAACTCTTCGGAGTGATAGTGGTGAACAAGACTAGCAGGTCTGGGAGACCTGCTATTTTTTTCTGTACAGCATACTCCAATCACATCGGATAAAGCAGTAAATTTTTTCTTACTTAATTGAAAAGAAGCCAACGCAAACTTGGAAACCTGCTGGCATATGCTGAAAAAATAAAAGTACGTAAACATGGTGTCCTGAAAAATGTGTCTACTTTCTGTATTGATTCTCTTGCCATAAAATCTTTCGAGAAGCTTTAGGTTTTGATTTTTCAACTTAAGTTCATATGAAGCAAAATACCGTTCTCTTTCATTACTGTTGGACCACGGTAAGAAGCATATCGGGCCAGTGCGAGATAGGCCATTCGAAAAAATTTAAAAATTTTGGAGAATTCGCTAAAAAAATTTTATGCATGCTGATTTCACTACATGAATTTTGGGGGTTAGAGCTTTTGAAATGTCTCAATCATATTTTCGACGAATGTCAGAAATCAGTGTTACGTATATCTAGCATGAGAAAAGGGTTACGATTAAAACTTTCATGTTTGAAACAGCGGCTCTGATTACGTAGTATAAGAACTTTCAGCTTCTTCAATCGTTTAGGTAATATATAACCCTCATTGACGTAAAACCCTTTTCAAAATTCTTACCGTATTCCTGCGATATCGAGGAGAGAATGGTGATTAGGTCCGTACTGTGAACCTAAGCTGACAACTCTAAAAAATGGTATCTAAAGTTTCTCGAAAGATTTCAGGACACAAGAGTGATAAACGAGCAATTAGTAAGTACACGGGGCACTTTGTATATTAAAAAGAGGCAATACCTTTTCGTAATCGAGCAGGATTTAACTTTAACATAACCCAAATTCACCATTTTTGTGAGAAAATATCGCGCTTTGCGAAAGATGTTATGTTTAAGCATAGACTTTTATAAGTTACAAAAATGTGCTTTTGATTTGTACGATGAATCTATATCGTAACTTATTGGACCAGGCTAAGATTGTTTACGTGTTTTTGTGCGTGTGTCTGTGTCCTGTCCGTAACGAAATTGATAGAGCGATTTCCAGCCAACGTCCTGAGCCCAGATTTTGCAAAGCGCACGTTACCAGCGTAGAGCTCCACCCTGCAAAAACACGAGCGGATCTGTTGAGTGGTTCCCTCAGCATTTGCGCGTCAACGGATCCACTTGATTTGGGTCAAAATTGGGTCCGTATCAACGCTTTTTGAAATGTCGTGGATGTGTTTGCATGGTGATATGCAAGCCATCTTAAGACCAAAAAGTGACCAAAGATCTACTATTTTACGAAAACGGCGCCAAAAAGAAATGGTTACGTAAACGGTCAATTCGCCGTGGTTTCACCTGAGCTTTTGAGAAGATTTGTGCAAAGAGATGTAGCTCACGGTAATGAATATCCTCTCAGATAATCGCGGGGGGCAGGCGGCCATGCAAATCTTGAGCAAGCGGGCACCGGAAAAACAGTTCGTTGATTTCCTGCGGTCCGCTTGCAGAAATTTGGAATAATTTTGGCTAATTTTTAGACGAACACTTGGAGAACTATCGCGGTCTTTCCGTGGATAAGTGCGGCCCAGTGGCCGCATTCTCGCAGGCCTTCCGCGGGAAAATGCAAAATTGTTGGGGGCCGCACCTTCCTTTATGGAGGACCGCACTGCCCAGGGTACCTTCCGTAAAAAGAAGGTACTCCAAACTTGGGTAATTCAAACCATCAATGACACCTCTGCCACATAGAGTCTCACCTTTTCTCGGCGTACACCCAAACTGCGTAAAAAGAGTCCGAGCGCTTGCTGAAAGTTTGGCCAGCGCCCGCTGGAAGAATCTATTTGCCAAGCGCTTGCAAAAAATGCAGTACTGCTGTCCGCTGGCAAAATATGCGACCGTAAAGGAAGTGCCGCCCGCTGAAGGTATGGCGACGCCCCAAAATTTTGCTGACCTCCGCAGAAAAGCGCGAGTTTGCGGACCGCCTGTCCTCGGCGATTATCTGAGCTTACGGCGACTACCAAGCCAAAATAAGTTTAGAAACCTATTCAAATTTGCATTTGTTCTCCTGAGAAAGTTGTATCACCGCGAAATCACCATTCTCACATAAAAAATTAGAATGACTAGTCGTTTACATTTTGTTCGTGATAGTCAGCATTGCGCGGGGAGTTTCGCAGCCATCGTTAGGCGAGAATGAGTAATGCATATGGAGTAGGATTACGAGCCTTTGCGAAGCAGAGTTGACACAGTGGTATCTTATATGTAAACCTCAATGTCTGTTTGTCTGTATGTCTGTATGTTCGTCTGTCTGATTGTCTGTACGTATGTTCCGAATAGAAAATTCCATTTTTGAATCTGATAATTCGGACCAAACTTTGCACACATTCACTTCGAGGCCGGGCATGTGTCATAGGCTACTTTTCTTCATCGATCGATATCAATTTTATCGATTGTTTGCAGAGTTCACCTACGGGGCTGGGATTTGGCCCAGGAGGGGTAACCGAGCATGATTACGAAAACGATAATAGTTTTTGAAATTTTACTTTCGATTTTATCGATTTTTTGCAAAGTTTGGGTTCGGAACTGGGAGTTGGCACAGGGAGTAATGGAGCACGCTGATTATTAAAACAGCGGGAATAGTGATTTAGCATGTAGACGTGGGCACAGAGAAAGGTTGTACGGGGATAAGGATGAGAGCTTTATCACAGTGTTTTGACACGGCCGAGCGGAGCCGGGTAAGCCAGCTAGTGTTCAGGGTGTCTCAAAAGTATATATGCACTGTTTGATCGTTAATATCTCTCTTCCCAAGAAGTTTTTTGTCTATCTTCGGGCACCATTTTGTAGAGCTGGCTTCAACTTAGATTTTCAGTATGGAGCGATCTTCGGTCATCTTTCATTACTGTAGGGTTACGGTAGAAACTCCAAAGAGGTTTTAAGCCATGAAAGGCCATATTTTGCTTCGGAAAAGAAAAAAACAGCCTGAAAACTTTTACACTAGGCTAATTAGACTTGCTGATTTTGATTGTAAAGTGCCCAACTTATTATGATGCTTCATTGAAGAGTTATGCTAGGTAAGCAGTAGCGGCCATTTTTTCAATGTTCCTAAAAAGTGCGGTTACACCCCATAATTAAGTATTGAACTCAGCGTTTATAAAAACCCTATTACACAAGTTCTCACATTTTTTTGGAAAAATTTTGAAATGGCAGCTTTTTCCACATTGACACCATATGTTTCAAGTTCCTATCGTAATCCTGCAGTAAGGAAGAGCGGTCGGTAATTCGTTCTATACTGAAAATCTAAGTTGAAGCCAGCTCTACAAAACAGTACCTGAAGCAAGGCGAAAAACTTTTTGGAAAGAGAGATATTAACGATCAAACAGTGAATACATACTTTTGGGACACCCTGTATGTATATCAGGTTGTCCCAAAAGTTCTTGCGCCGGATATTCAAAAAATCATAACTTCCTTGCCAACCGGCGGATTTTCTTGATTTTACTTCTATTTGAAAGAGGGAATCTTTCTCTTTACAAAGTGCCTTTGCTTTGAAGCCGGGTCAGAAAGTTCCAAAGCTAGAGGCAATTGAATGAAATTAATCGAGATCGGCATTTTTTAAGCTGGGTCACGAAAAATTTTGGAAGTATTTTTATTCGATAGAGAAAATTTTGCACATTACAGTATAACTTTCCCATAAATTAAAACGAAAAGCTCGAGAGTTAGGAGCAAATAAAGAAAATTCTTTCACTTTGCAATTTTTGAACGTGCTCAAAAAAGCCTAAAAACGTCACCGAAAAGACGGGAAAGCCACGATTGTGAGTTTTGTAATTTTTTCTTTCTAGCTCAGCGAGAACTGTGTCAAACGAAAATAATTTTGTTTTTCGTGATTTTTTTAAATTTTCAGCAGTGCGTTTTTCACGAAAATCAAAAATGCTCTCTATTAGCTCGAAACTTGCTCAGCTAGAAATAAAAGGCCACAAAACCTATGTCCATGACATTCTCGTATTTGCTGTGACATTTCCAAGCTTTCTTGAGCATGCTCAAAAATGCAAAACTGAAGAAATTCTCTTTATTTGCTCCTAACTCTCGAGCTTTTTTGTTTTAATTGATGGAAAAGACATACTGTAATGTGCAAAATTTTCACCTATCGAATAAAAGTACTTCCAGAATTTTTCGTGACCCAGCTTGAAAAATGCCGATCTTGATTGATTTCATTCAATTGCCTCTAGCTATGAAACTTTCTAGCCCAGCTTCAAAGCAAAGGCAAGTTGTAAAGAGAAAGGTTCCCTCTTTCAAACAAAAATAAAATCAAAAAAATCCGTCGGTTGGCAAGGAAGTTATGGTCTTTTGAATATCCGGCGCAAGAACTTTTGAAACTTAATATATACAGTGCTTGACATAATTATAAAACCACTCTTGGTGCAAAAGTTTTGTCAGTTTCTTCAATCCATTGGCAAGCACGCTAGAATGAAGATAAACAAACACTTCAAAAAGTATCCGATGCAAAATTTCTTTCCCTTTCCAGCTGCTAAACTATCGTTGTGTTTCGTTGAGAGAATGACAAGATATTTACCGGAAATTACAACCACTTTTTACTATGTCCAAATTTCACTGATTTTCAAAATTTTTGTATAAGATTTTCGGAGGAGCCCTGATAACCACCAGATAGGGCGAACCTTCTGCCAACAGAAGCAATTTTTTTCTTTTTTTTAGCTGCTTTTTCAGGATTTTGCTAAGTAATTTTCTGAAAGTCTTGTGTTTTGAAAAAATCGCATAATTTTTCATTGTACCAAACACTGCAAAACCTACAGAATACTGAGGTTTCAACACACGATTATTACTACCGTTACCATTACAAAGTAACTGAGCAATTTT